ATTGTCTGTAAAAATCACTAAATGTTCCAAAGAAAGACTAGAGAGAAGGAAGTACAAACCCTCTTTCACTAAGTATCTCATTTGGCTATTCATTCTCGAGTCAGTTTTCAAAGTAACTGACTTTAAATTCAACACTCAGGATTAAGAACAATTTATAGTCAGATATGTGATTTGGCCTGCCATCTTAAAATGAAATAGCGGTTATCAGAATTTCCAAAAGAAAAGATCAGGTAATTTTTCATGGATGTAAGTGAAACTTGTCAAAGTGAGAGAGGGCTCAGAGGAATGTTACTGCACCGAGCTTTGGGAATGACTCATTAATAATCCAGTTAGACTGTAAATGATGCTTTCAAATTACCCACACGCCACTAGAAAACACTGTACTGTGCTTATAGCAGAAGGTGACTTCTCTTTTTTCCAAACTCCCTTTGCATGAGGAACACATCTTATTTTCTCAGTGAAACTGCAGGTACCTGGAAAGCAGACTCCATGCCCAGGTGACCCTTGCACCTGCACCTTCTAACTTCCCACTAAGTACAGCTCCTAGCATGTATCTTACAAAGGACATAAGCTTAATAAGTGTTTGCAAATGAATGAATGTAAGCTTGTATGGTTCTGTTCCTTTCCCTGGTCTTACTGCAGACCCTGAAGTCTGGTTACTTACTAAAAACTTATGTTCACCTTTCGAACATATTAAAGTTAATATCCAAGTTTCAAGTAGTCATCCCATGGTGATTTTTGCTAATGAACTTGATCTGGACTGATAGTACTCTAGAACATTTATCTACAGCTCTTTCAATGTGGTCTACTTAGAAAATATAAAATACCAGTTATTTCCTCTTGGAGAGCGAAATTATTTCATTTAATAGTATCTATGGCTGTCAACACTCTGGTAGACTGTGAAAAATATCGTCTCAACTGTCTGTATTAAATATTAATCACATAAGATTTCTTTTGCTTTGTTTTTACTACTTAAACTCTCTCCTGACAAAAAAAGCTTCTGTTGTGTTTTTTTGTTTATTTTCGATAGCATGGGGTTTTTTCCTCATGATGCAAAAACACATGGTTATTGCATTTACTAGAAGAGAAAATGTCTGTTCTTTAAAATTACATTCGGACATATCTCCTCGGGCAAGGGAAAGAAAAGAAAAAATAAATAAATGGGACTACATCAAACTAAAAAGTTTTTGTACAGCAAAGGAAACCATCAATAAAACAAAAAGACAACAGACAAACAGACTGAATGGAAGATATTCGCTTATGATACATCTGATAAGAGGTTAATATTCAAAAATATAAAGCGCTCATACAACTCAACAACAAAAAAACAATCCAATTAATTTAAAAATGGTCAGAAGATCTGAACGGATACTTCTCCAAAGAAGAAATACAGATGGCTAATAGATATATGAAAAGATGCTCAAGGTCACTAATCATCAGAGTAATGCAAATTAAAACCACAATGAGATATCACTTCACACCTGTCAGAAAGGCTATCATCAATAAATCAAAAAACGACAAGTATTGGTGAGGATGCGGGGAAAAGGGAATCCTCATACACTGTTGGTGGGATTGCAAATGGGTACAGCTGCTATGGAAAACAGTCTGGAATTTTCTCAAAAAATTAAAAATGGATGTAACTTTTGACCCAACAATTGTACTTCTGGATATTTATCCAAAGAAAACCAATTTGTAAAGATCTATGCACCCCTATGTTCATAGCAGCACTATTTACAATAGTTAAGCTATGGAAGCAACCTAAATGCCCATCAGCAGATGATTGGATAAAGAAGTTATGGTTCATATATACAATGGAATATTGCTCAGCCATTAAAAAATGAAATCCTACCATTTGCAATGACATGGATGGACCCAGAGGTTATTAAGCTGAGTGAAATAAATCAGACAAAGACAAATACCATAGGATTTTACTTATATGTGGAATCTAAGGAACAAAAAGAACTAATCAAAAACAGACTCACAAATATAGAGGACAATCTGGTGGTAGCCAGAGGGGAAGGAGGTTGGCAGAGCTGGGAAAATAGAGTGAAGGATTAAAGAAGTACAAATTCGTAGTTGATAGATGGTCATGGGGATGGGGAGCACGGCATAGGGAATGCAGTTAGCATTAATGTAATAGCTAGATGGAGAGCCAGAGGAGAGAAAGAGCAATTAGGGGGATTGTTTTGCAAACTATATAAATGTCTAACCAATGTGCTGTATACTTGAAAATAATAATAAACTAAAGTTTAAATTAAAAAATAAAATAAAATTACATTGTATAATGACTGCTTACCACTCCTCCCACCCAATACTAATGGGACATGGAAGTGGAGTAAATTTCTTTGGTCATACTTGCCATGAGAATGGTGAATTGCCATTTGCAATTTTCTTAAAAAAAAAAAAAAAAAGATGGGTCAGTTTCAAAGATGCAGCACAAAGTTATCCAAGGGATTTCTTTCTCTACAATCTGTTTATTAAGGAATTAGAGTCATCATTAAAGTCATCCAGGCAGGCAGGTAGTTCAGGCACTCTAGATTAGAGCGAACTCAAACCCAAGGAGAATGCCATCTTCTCTTTTTTGAAAACTCTCCTGCATACCACTGTCTCATTTCTTAACAGCTTGATTCATTTTTCTTTTCTAGAAAGTAAGCTCATTAGCTCATGGCCTGCCCTAATGAATACCCCAGCTCCACTTCTGGATTTAATGGACTAGTCCCAAAAGTGGTTGTTCTTACTCCTGAAAAGGACTTTCCTCATCCACCTCATCCAGTCAGATAATTTAGAGTTGCTTTAGACCTTGAAAATCATTTAGTGCTAGAAAAATCTATTGATGTGCCCCGCCCTACACCACTTACTAGTAGCCAAGTGCAACCTAGAACACGGGCCCTCTTCACCAGGTGCCCTATGTTCTTTATCACCTTTCCAGGTGATCAAAATTTTCCCTCGGAGTGACATGGTAATCCCCAGTAGTGTTTGTGAGTGTCAAGCATGAATCCAGATAAGAATTATTTGGGTCCTTCATGCCCTTGCTACTCTAAGTGTGGTCCATGGACCAGCAGCATGGGCATCATCTGGGCACATGTTGGAAATGCAGAGTCACAAGGCCCACCCTAGAGCTGCTGAATTCAGATTCTGCACTTGAACACTATCTCTAGGAAATTCATAGAATGCTTGAGAAGAGCTATTCCATAGCAGAAAAAAAAAAAAAGACATCTTTACACTTAGAGTCAAGTTCATTTCTAATGTGCTGACTTCATGGTAAGTCCTGTGCTAACATGACCTCCTATAGTGGAATTACACTGAGAGATACTTCTGTGGCCTGACCAAAGTGAACTTCTCCTATCTAAATATCAAGGCCAATGGAATAACCGAAGGGATAGAAATACTGGAGCCCAGTGAATGCCTTATGTAAATTGAAAGGCACATGGTATGTCAGTTTTATTTCTCTTTCTGAAATTCTTTTTGATTTGAAGACCACTGAGTAGTAAAACGGAGGAGTAATGAAACTGCTACCTCATCTAAAAATCAAAGATACCCTCCTCAACTTCTTGTCATAAAGGGATTGCCCACGGAATCATGGGTACAGAAGCACAGCAGGTGCTTCACACCAGGGTTGAGGTGTAGTTAGGGAGTTAGTCTGCCTGGGATCAAGTCAGAGATCTTCTTGCCACGATCTTGTGCGGCCTTGACAAATAACTCAACATCTGGGCCTCAGCTTCTTTACCTTTAAAATAGAAATAAAAATGGAATCTACTTCATAGGCTGATTATGAGAATGAAACGATACTCATAAAGCCTGGCACACAGTGAACACTCAATAAATGTGACCTACAGTCTCATGTGGCCGTGAAACCTGAAACCACTAAGGCTCCCAGAACAATTTCCCCTTGTGATTGACCCAGGTATTGATCCACAGCCAATAGACATAAAGAAACCAATATGCTAAAAAGGCAGATGTTAAAAATAGTTTCACTCTACAAATACCACGGTAATTCTGGACATTAGCAAAGGTGCATGCCACCTTTCGCTTCAAATTCTAATGCATGTTGACCTGGACCAAGAGCCCCAGAGCTCAATCAGCCATGAAGAAATGAAGAAATCTGCTTTCCAAAAAGAGGAACCCATCTTAGTCACACAGCTTCCTGCCTCCCAGCTGTCCCTCCTGAGCTCACTCGCCCAAAGTCTGTCCACCGGGCAAAGCAACTTCTAAAAAGACAGAAAAAGAAGCAGTCACTCTGCACTTTCTCTCTTTTTAATATGTGACCCGTGTTGTCATTTCTCCCATAATAGTTGGCCAAAAGACAGATCTGATTTCCTCTGCCAGACTTTATTTCAATATTTATTTTTACAAAAGCAGCGAAAGCATACTGTGTTTTCTATCCCACCTTCATTGTTTAAAAAAATTCTTTAAAATTAATATTTATTGCTCCTTTTGAGAAACCAACCACCACCTCCCTTTTCCTAATTAGATCCACTGAAAACATAAGATTAAGCATTCAATTGGGCAAGCTATACTGAAAAACATCCTCAAAGCCTTGAAAATAAAAATCAAGACCAAATCAATTTCAGCACTTGGTTCAAGTAGGTTTTGCTTTTCCTTCCAAGTGATTGACAGAACTTATGGTGGGCTCAAATGGTAAAGTATTTCTAGAGTTTGGGGAAAGACATTAAGTTTGTATGTAGCCTTTAAAAACTTGGTGTGTTTTCTAGCCATGCTTTTCAGATTATAGTATTATACTTTAACTAGTTGCATCATTCTGAAAGTATACCTGTTCAGAGGAAATATTTTCCTAGCTAAGTTTAATCTAATAAATTAAAGGAGAGAAAGGATGTAAAATGAAACTCTTTACTTCTGCAGTCGGGCTTGGACAGTCACAGGGCACTATGTAACTTCTCTCTTGTTGTCTAATGTTTTGCCTTACCCGTCAGAGGGCAGAAGCCATGTGAACATACATTAGCCACCTCACGATGCTAACCATCTACCCTTGGAGGCCTTACCTTTCGGTTTTCTTGATCAGGATGGCCCTGAAGATGTGCTCAAGGGGTGTCTTCTCCTGCTCGTGGGTTGGCTGCACGAAAGGATGCAGGGCCGCCAGTGAGAAGCCCTGCTGATACAGCTCCAGGAGCTGGGCAGGCAGGTCTCGCAGGGAGGCCAGCCTTACTGCTGAAGACCGCGGGAGCTCAGCTGTGAGTGGAGAGAGGAGAGGCTCATCAGAGACCCACCAAAAATGCCTGCCCTACCCTATCCAAGTTTCTTTCCCCTTACCCAGGACCTCTAAGTTACCTCTTGCTAAAAGTGAGTTTGTTCCCATCTTAACTACTATCTTCAAAGAACTTATAAGCACCTGGCTATTTTCCAACTCACTAAACGGCATTAATAATTGCATACTTTAAATCTATAGTCAATCTTCTCAGAGATCACACTGGAAAAGTCATTTCCGCCCCCTCAGAAAATAAAAAAGAAAGGAAAGAAGGAGGAAGAGATGACAATTGTGCAAATATAAAATTGCCAGGTGGCAAAAAGTGGCATAAACAAACTCGAAAGATAAACCGGAACAAAGTTTCTGTGATATTTATGACAAAGGAGTAATTTTCTTGATTTGCAAAGAAACTCCTTCAAACAAACAAAAAAGAAAAAAAAAAAAGAAGCAAAGTATACAAACAGGCAATTGCCTAAAAAAACAAAGCCAATCAATACTTAAAAAGACACCTGAATTAACAATATTAGAACTGTGCATACAAAACAAATATTTTTCACATACTGAATTATTTTAAAATGTAGATTAAAAAATTTTTTAAGGAGAGACAAGATTCGAAATTCAAGAGGTACAAGCATAGACACAGTGAAAAGTCTACATCCCAGCCCTACTCGCTCCCTCTCAGTCTTTTACCCCAGAGGCAATCAATATTACCCATTTTTATATATAGATTAATAATTGCTTAATTCATACACAAGTAAATAAGTCTATCTATCTCTCTCCCTTTTTACACAAATGCATCTGGCTTTTAATAAATTGTTATCAAGTACCAGCACACTTTTCTTAAGAGACCATTCAATAGTAGTACATAGAGCTTTCTTTTTTTTTTTTTTACAGATGCAGTGTTCCATTGTGTGATGTACCATAGATTGTTCAAACTTTTGCTTTTACAAATAATACTGTAATGAAAAGTATCGCTCTTATATGGTTTCACATGTGTGCACAAATAGCACAACTAAAAAATAAATTCTTAGGTGTAGATTTTTGGGGCTGAAGATAAATAAATGCATTGTAATACTTTCAGATATGGCCACATTTCCTCCACAGACTAGAACGAATTTACCTCCCATCATTACTGTACAATCACTGACTAATCTCAGTGAAAAAAAGACCCCTTTGAGGTGGTAATTTATATTTATCTTACTATATAATTTATATTTTTTAAATTAAACATTTAATGTTTAAGTGCTATCTGTGTTGCCTTTTCTGTTAACTGTTCATAATCTTTGCCTAGTTTTCTATTGGGTTATTGGTCCTTTTTTCCTATTCGTTTGTAAGAACTCTTTATATATTAGAAAATTTAGTTTTTATTTGTAATACTGGTTGCAAATATCTTTTGCTAATTTGTTGTCTTTACGCTTTGCATAAGATGGGTTTTTACCATGCAGAATTTTTTTTAATGAAGTTGAATTTATCAAATTGTCTTCAATGGCTTCTGAGTTTTATGTCATTGCAGAGGGATGTGGAATTATAAACTAATTCTCCCATGATTTCTTGTAGTATATATTTCAATTTTTGCATGTAAATCCTTGATCCATTTGGAATTTATGCAATATGAATTAAACATTTCCCCCCCAAGGTTTATCCATTTTTCTTCATTGGTTTGAGATGCTACCTTTATCATACATTATATTCCTGAATATATTTAAGTTTATGACTGTGATCCATTAATGTATTTTAACAATTTTAGTTTCATATTATGTTTTAATATTTGGTCAGGCTATTTCCTGAATCTTCTTATCTTCCTGTTTATTTTCTGAATATTCCTGTCTACTCTTGTTTTTTCAAATGGTCTTTAAAATCAGCTCATCAAGCAAGCCTCCAAAAAAATCTTGTTGATATTTTTATTGGATCATATTAAAATTATAGCTTAACTGAGGGAGAATGAATATTTTCATCAGGTTATAAGTTTCCATCCAAGAATGTGGCATAATTTTCATTTATTCAAGACTTCTTTGGGGTCCCTCAGGTGCATATTAAAGTTTTCTTCACAGAGATGTTATAAACTTATAAAATTTATTCCTATTTTATATTTTATTGCTATTCGAGTAATATAATTTTTTTTCTTTTCACTTGTATGATATCCATCATGGGCAAGAATATTGGGGAAACAAGAATATTGGGGAAACAGGCATCACAGTTGATAGGCAATGTAGCACACACATCCTTTGTCCGACAACCCCATTACTAAATATTATACCTATGACTGGATTCATAAATGTTTTTCAAGATATATGAACGAAGATGTTCAGACAGGGTTGTATGCATAGCGAAAACCTGGAACCAAAGAATTCTTAATTGGAGGGTGGCTTAACACTGGGAAACCCTAATGATGAATCCTATGAACCATTTAAGGAAATGAAGGTAAATCTGTTATGTGCTGATGGAAATGTGTCCAAGATACATTACTAAGAGGCAAGGTGTTTCAGTGTTTATCATATAATACTCTTGCATAAAACATTAGAAAGATAGACATGCATAAAAATAATTTTCTGGAAAAAAATCGCAAAAACATCAATATTGCAGAGAGAGACTGAAACAGAGAGGGAAGGATGGAAAGGTGGTTTTTACTTTATTTTGTACTTTTAATACTTTTACCATCAACAGGGATCATATGGGTGGAGGGTTTATGGGACACTTTAATTTTCATTTTCTTCTTTATATTTAAAAAATAATATTATTTAAAAGTTTCTTTATGTATTTAAAAAGTAATGTGTTATTTTAAAACACAAACTTAAAAACAAAATCTAGAGGTACTTAAGGATACTACTTAGCATCGGATACTGTAGCTCTCATTTCCATACATCATGCAAGAAATTTATGGGGAAAAAAATCTATAGCAATGATTCACTCTAAAGCAAGAGTCTGGCATCCTGGAGAGACCTCCATCAATAACAGGGACAAAGATGAGACTGGCCAGGAAAGCAGAAAAGTCTGTACTCTTCCCCTTGAAGGATGCATGCTGTATGCTGCTAGATAAAAACCTAAAGGTAAGTCTGTTAAGGAATGCTGAGCCCCCCCACATTCTCATGCACAGAAACCCACCAAGTAAAAGGGGACCCCGTGCTTTAGAGTAGGTGTCCTCCACGTACGTGTGCTTGTGGGTCCAGCAGCAGCAGCAGCGGCGGCACCAGGGAACTCATTAGCAATGGACACACACAGTGTAAATATTTATATGCCTTAAAGTGTACAGATGAAACTTATTGGATTTTGTTAACCAATGCCACCATAGAAAATTAATTAATTAATTAGAAAAATTTAAAAAATACAAAAAGCTAATAAAAAGAAAAAAAGAAAGAAAAAAAAAAAAAAAGAAAAGAAATGGAGACCTGAGTCCCTCCCCAGATCTACTAAATCAGAATCTGAGGGATGGGTATATGTCCTCGCAAGTCCTCGAGGAGATTCTGTGGCTGCAAACCACTCTCCCGAGGGTTTCATTTTGTCCCTCCTCCAACCACTGTCCTCTCCATGAGCAAGGAACCTGGGGACCTAAGGGCATGCGCCCACATGTGACCTGTACCCCACTCCACACAGCCATGACCCTGCAATTCCCTGACCTGACAGCCCCGGGCCCACTTTGAGAGCCTGTGCAGGCTTCTCCCCAGGTCTGTGTCAAGGGTGGATGGTGTTTCATATGCACACACTCCCGGGCCCAAGACAGGACAGAGACTAGGGTGAGGTGAGTGAGGAGATGCTTGCCACAGGTGCAAAATTTCAGGGGCACCAAAAACTCAGTAACCAAGATAAATATGTAATGCAATACGTTAAAAAGTGAAAAGAAATGCAAAGTCCATAATGAACAAAAGCGATAATTTTAATAAAGACAGGATCAGTATTATTGATTTTTCTTTTTTGTCTCAAGCTCCAATACGGTTTAGCACAACACTGTTACTGACCACATCTTTTTTAAAAATGTTGCCTCACTCGCCTCATCCTAGTGCTGGCCAGGCCCAATATCTCCTCTTGCAGCATCGTCCTAGGCCCTGCGAAGGACAGGAGCCAGTCTGCATGTAGGTTGTGCCCAGGGAACCAGAGGCAGGTTTTCTTTGCTGTCAAGAGGTTACAAAGCAACTGAACCGAAAGAGTATTACATGTGGCATAGATGCTGAAAAATGGCATGGACTTTTGGTAGGGCTGTAGGCCTTTCAGGAGGGTAATTTCATGATATCGATCAAAGCACTTAGATCCTCTCTTCTTTGATAAAACCATATGTAAAGAGCATCTCTGAGTCATCAAATATGAGACCTCAAACTCAGCCAGTCTCTACAGCTCAATATTTTGTAAGTGTTTCAAGTATTTCAAACTCTTACTGCTAAAAGCTTTACTCAGATTTTGATCATTTATTTTTGGTTTCCTCCTACATCACATTATAATAAAAAAGTAAAATCAGTTGATGTGTTGAGAAAACTTGGGGCTCTAGTATTTGCTCCATTCCTCACTAGCATTAATCCTGGGCATGTGAACACTCAGTTTCTTCATGTAAAATGGAGATGATAACATCAGCATTTTTTCCTCCATGGAGTGGTTGCGGGAATCAAATGGGGTAGGATGATGGGTGCGTCATTGAGAAAACCGAAAACTATCATGCTGTTAATGTGTTGAGAAAACTTGGGGCTCTAGTATTTGCTCCATTCCTCACTAGCATTAATCCTGGGCATGTGAACACTCAGTTTCTTCATGTAAAATGGAGATGATAACATCAGCATGTCTTCCTCCATGGAGTGGTTGCAGAAATCAAATGGGGTAGGATGATGGGTGCGTCATTGAGAAAACCGAAAACTATCATGCTCAGGGGTGCTGGCTGTGGTGAACGGGGAGCTGGCCAGGGGGATCGGTCAGCTTCGGATGGTGGTGAGAAAATTGTGTGAGGGCCATAAAATCCTTCCCCGGTCCCACCCACACCCCTTAACCTCCACATCCCAAATCA